ATTTTTTTATGGGTTGAACACTATGACATTAAATATAATATTAATTAAATGTTTGAAATTTGGTTACTCCGATGTTTATTTATCATGAGGCTGACAAATAGGTAACAATATTTGAATTGAATCTTTTTCGTATGACTGAATTTTCCTTAGATGAGGTTGATCTTTGTCAACTTCCTAATAATCTGCTAGATCCAAGAAAGCAAATTTGTTTGGACATGCTATTGGTATTGGTAAACATTTGAAATTTAGTGCTTTTTGCTCTAGTGTCTTAGTCATCGTGTCGTGCTAGTTTTTGACTTGGTATTTGCATACCTTGAATGAATTTATTTTCATCGGTTAAATCTTCAAATAAAATCGAAACTAAACGTTTTGAAAACAGCCGGAAGACGCTGAGCCGCCACTGTCCTAAATGAAACGACGAAGTTTAAAGTGACCAGACCCGGCTTTATGCGTAAGAGTTTTTACAGTTATCTAAACAAAGAGATCTGGGAGTTAGTTTATTAACATATGGACCCGGCCCAAGCAAAACAAACAATACAAAAATAGTAACCGAAGATTTGAAGATAGGAGGTAGCTCTCTCTGTGACAGTGTGCCGTATGAAAGTCGTTTGCTTACGGATCGCGCAATGTGTTTATTTTTTTATTAGCTTAGATGAGTGATTTTGCAATTGAGAAAAAAATCTTGCTTTTCATATACGACAAAATTTTATAACTCATTCTTATATCTTAGATTCTTAAAGCACGCCGAACCGATAATTTATGCGTACATTTTTATTAGAAATCAACGATAATTCAAAACTTACAAAAAATTTTAAATAACAGAAATGTAATGCACAATAAAACATGAGTTTGGGGCGTTTTCTAGATAATGCTGGGAGTGTCTCTCATTTATACATATGACGTAGCGTAATTTATAGATAGTTCCTTATAAGCCGATAATTCTTCGACTGACATCCCCCCTTTGGAAAGTGAAAATTTATCGGCTCAGACGATAGATTTTCATTCATGCTGTATACGGTATAAAAGTAAGAATATTGAGTGATCTCACTCCATCAATCTATCTCAATGTCGAAGTGGAAAACTTTATTTGTTTCCATAGTTAGAAAAATTATAGCTAACAGAACAAGCCAGTTTAAATCAACACTTGCCGAAATTGTTCCGTTTCTAACATAACGGGTGATATTAAACTTTAGGAGTAACACCCCATTTTTTATTTTATGTACATTTTTTGAACATTTTACATTAAAATTTGGTACTTTGAATGCCGCCGTTTAACAGGAACTTCGCACTGCAATTGAAATGACCGTAACTCTTTTAGTGTTTTTTTTTTATTTGTTTCATTCAAATTGTTTTGAAGAAAATAAATCTGTTTTCTCTCTTTGATGGCGAAATTTTCAAAAAAAAAAATCTGACTTAGGTTGCTTAGTGTTAGATTAAAATTTTATAAACGGAGTTTCCAAATTTTTGGATTTTGGACCGAGATATGTCTTATTTTGACGTCAATGGAACTTTTAGAGACACTGTATATATATAGCTACAACTACTTATATGATTTAACGTACTCAAAATTGTCTCAATGAAATGAATGACCGAGCAAATAACCGAAGTGCCTAATAAATAATATTTGCCATGTCGGCCGACATGTCCAAGCGCAAATCGTAAATAAAATTGATTACGTGTAGTTGAGGGTCGGGTATAATCGAGTAGAAGACATAGACACGTTATAGGAAGTGTTGAATAATATTTCCTGTCTAAGGACTCGGGATGGGCCATAACCGTTATTTCCGGTCGAATATGACACTCGTAGGTACAATTGTCTACGAACAGTCGGCAACGCTGCAGCTTATTGTTTCACAGCGTCGGACAGCTTGAACAAAGTGCGAGATTTCAGGGTCAACATTACGACCAAGTAATGTTGACTTAGCTGATTCCCTCGACCCACGAATGCCGGCGATTGCAAAATCGTTCGCGTTTTGGTTAATTTGTTACCTATTTTATATACCGAGCGAGATACAAACATGTGTGAATAGTCGAATGAAATTGAAATTTGTGTAGCTTTATATGAACTAAACGTACAAATTTTCGAAGGGGAATTAATGGTCACAAACTATCGAATTGTAAAATTTTTTTAATGTCTATCAATAGTACCACATGAAGTTTTTAAAAATTGCTCTAATTTCCGTTTCTCGTGTGATCCCGTATACTGTGAACTCCGGTTATAAAGTACCCTCTGGGAACCAGAAAATGAGTACTCTATAAGCGGTAGTACGCTATAAAAAAAGCAATAAAAATTGTGGAGGTACGTACATATTTTTATTTTATATAAAAATAGAAAACTAATAAACACTAATATAGGTACTGAAAAACGAAAGAAACTAAACTACCTAAACTAAAAACTTATCGATGTAAATAATCTTTACAACATAGAAGTAAAAATACATACTTTATTCTTTTATTTTTTTATTTTTTCTCAAAATAAAACAAAAAAAACAACCTTCCAGGACGCTTGCATAATATCATCAGTTACATTATCAGTAGATTGTAAAACTTTTTAAACAATTTTAGCTTCACAAAGCGCTCAGAATCGCTTGGTATTTCGTCCCGTTGAACATCATCGTCGCTTTTGTTACAAGAGCTTTGCGAATAATTTGGCTGTAAAACTTAATAACTGCGTTGTTTTTAAATTATCATCAACAGTTGGGAAGCTATCCAGCTCGGGAAGATACGTTTGAAATTTGGTTAGCTCTTGACTACTATTGCACAACCAATTACTTTAGGGGAACCTCCCAGTCATCGTCGTCATTATTTTTGTACTTCTCGAACCACTGAACCAGAGATAAGTCCTCGTCTGAATCGAACTCATCTTCCGATTTTATCAGACCTGCATGTCGAAAGCTGTTTGAAATAGTGGTTGTAACATCATTCCAACAAGTAATTTTATGGAGTCTAGGATAGTGATGTTGAAAGGTCCCTTATTTTCAAACGATACGAAAAATTTCTGCCGTAATATGTCTTAAGGCATTTTTTTATGCACTGATCCATTGGTTGGTTCACTGAGGTGCTAATTGGAGGCAAAAACTCTAGTCTGATATTTGAAAGGATTAGATTTTTTGGATGAGCTGCACAATTGTCAACCAGTAGCAATATTTTTCTATTCTGACGTATTAGTTTTTCATCCCAATCCTTTAAATAATTATAAAAAATTGCTGAAGCTATCCATGTTCGCCGGTTTGACTTATAAACTACAGGTAGATTTTTCACATTTTTCATAAATCTCGGTCATTAATATTTACCAATAACAAGCATTTTTCGCTTTTCTCCTCTAAATTTAAGGGTACGATCTGGAGTCATCTTGTAGAATAGCTCAGTTTCGTCATCATTGAAAATATTCCTAGAGTTGTAATTTTGTGCAATACTGGGCCACTTATTCTCTAACCAGTTCAGCACAGCTTGTTTGTTAACATCTCCTGCTTCACCAGAAATTTTTCCGACGTTTATGTTGTGACCAACTTTAAAACGTTCTAGCCAACCCGCAGAACAAATAAAATCATCAGCCTGTAATCCCCGTGCTAATTCTTCGGCTTTAAATTTCAGAACTGGACTACTTATTGCAATATTTTCGGATCTTCGAACTTGAAACCATCGTAAAAGAGCTTTATCTACATCTGAACGTACAGGATTTCTAATTTCTTTAATTCTGTGCCATTTATAGTCTTGCTTTCTTGATGTTTTCGCGATTACTCCAAATTGTAGATATTGTTATTTTCGCCAATTTCTTTTGTCTAGCAATTTGCGCCTTACCGATGCCACGCGCAATACTTCGGATAATCTTTTCTTTCACAGTGAAAGAGACTTTCGCCTATCCTTTTTTTTAACCAGAAACTCAAAAAATCATGCTAGCGCACCTTTCCATAAAGCTATAAATTGGAAACTATGGGCCGGACACACACGTTTCAAAGTAAACCTCTCAAATGATTACTGAAAAATCACCGTACTTTATTTATAACCAGAGCAATAGTGAAAATATTGTACTTTATAACCGTAGTAGAAGTTATATATCAAGAATCAAGAATACCTGGAAGTATGTTATATAAACTCCGTTTATAACGTACGTGGGATATTTAGTTCCTCTTAAAGATGAAAAACCGTAAACTGGGCAACCACTTGGTAACTGCAATTTGAGGAACGGTTATGCCCAAGAACAAGTTCAGTCTTTATTTTAAAAATCCATTTCTATTTTGTAAATTTTGTGTATCAGATAAATTCGGGGTTAAAATATACCTCGAGTATACCATAAAATGTACCAAAAAGTAAGTGCTTACATAAAAAACGGCTACAATTATTTTAGTGTAAATATTGTTTCTTTTATTTATATAAAGTTTGTCAAAATACAACACTCATTTATTACAGTCATTAGAGCTAAAATATGGAGTAATCGTGTCTCAGAAAAGTAATTAGAAAATACCCAAATTTCTCGTTAATATAAAATTATACTTACTTAGTAAACTTAGTAAACATTACGTACATCTAAGAATAATTGTCTCTAAGAACTGTAACCTAAAAACACGACTATAATGGTTTGCGGACTAGAATTAAACAACTCATATGTTAAACTTAACCAATAACCAATTTCACATTAATATAAATTATAGTTGTTTTGTTAACTTTGTTAAAATTCAGCACACTGAAAAAGCGATTAAAACTATTTTAATACAAGTAAATTACATTTCATATGTAAATTTCGCCAACGTACAACATAGATCTATTACACCTATTAGCTAAAATCAGGGTTAAAGCGTATTATATCACAAACAGCAAGTACCTACTAAAAACAAAAAAATATTGATTCCAATTCAGATGTTAGATCATTTTAACGAATTTTAACGTAACGATGTTAATATAAATCACATTCATTTTGTCAACTTTGTCAAATACAATAGTCTATTACCGTTACGTAAAAGCGAGGATAAGGTGTTTATCAAATTAAAGAAATTACCTACCGAAATCACTTATTATTACATTCTATACGGACTGTCCCGCGTCAAATCGAAGTGTACAACCATTGAGCATTGGCGTAGTTAACACGACTTTTACGAATTCAGCCAATTCTTCAGGCCGACCTCCCCTGTTTGGAAATTGAAAATTTATCGACTCAGGAGCTACATTTTCGGTCATGGGTGTATGAAAAAAACCTGCAATTAAAATTTTTGAATATTGAAAAATTTTTGAAAAAGGTTCCAAAATTTCACCCGGTGCTATATCAACCACCCTAATGCACTGGCTAGCAAGCTCTTTGGCCAAAGCCGAGGTCATTCCAGACATGGCCGCCTTGCTAATTGTGTAAGCGATGTTGCCGGGTCTACCGTCCAATCCGCCAATGCTAGATATGTTGATAATCACACCTTTTTCGCCAATGTTGTTGATTTCGTTTTGCATTAATAAAGTTAATGCCAGTCTTATTACGTTGAATGTTCCAGTTAAATTAACCTAACATGCAACGGTCACAGTTAAAAGTTTTCAGAACATAATATATAAATGGTGAAAACAAATTTCTACAAGTCTCTTTAGTAAATTTTGGATGTATAAGTCGCGTGAATGTAATTGTTGAATTTTTACATGTTTTTTACCTGTAAGACTCTGTTAAAAAGTTCTAAACTGTGGGGACAGTTCGTTTCGAAATTGTAAATCGAAGCGTGGGCAAATATTCCAGCCGAATTGATGACGCCGCTGAGCTTTCCGAATCTAGTTTTTACCATTGTTAGTGCTGCCAAAACTTCGTCTTCTGAAGTTATCTATATAACAATAGCCGAACGATCGCTGTGTAAATCTCTCCGTAATAGCGAAACTTACGTCAGTTTTTATATAAATCACATTAGTTCTGTGTTTGTCCAAATCAGTTGAAATTGGCGGCTCGATGTCCAAAATGGCTACTCTACTTCCATCATCGAGCAATGCGTGCACTATAGCTTCCCCCAATCCGGAAGATCCTCCCGTTACCAAATAAACCGATTCCTAGAAAAAAAAATAACTGGGTTTTGAAGTTGCATTCAGTAGTTATACTGACCATGTTGCTCGATAATAATTTTCAATTCATTAACTTATTCCGGAAACTAATTTCGCTTTTTATACTACGGTATCCGTAGGCGACCCAACTTCGATTGAAATGGATATCAAATGGCAGCAGACGATACAAATACAATATAAAAAAAACTGTAGAAAAACATTTTTGAGAGTGGTTTTTAATTTGGATTCTTTATACGAGGCGTACCAGTAAAAATATAATGTCACGGTGTCGGTTTCGTTCAATTTACATTTAAAAGCCTTTCTTATGTCGATTATTATTTTATGAGTAAATAAATCGTATTTGCCAATATAGCCTCATGATATGAATTTGAAATCAAAATATTTTAAATTATTCCATATAAAAACTGGCAACCCGGCCGGTAACGAAGTTGAAATTTATTGGGTAGGTCAGCATTAAAATATGTCGGCTATAATGAAATATCCATTGGCGGAGTATCCAAGCGTCTTCTGGGTACCAACTCTTTCCCACAAGCGATTCTAATAAAAATATCTCTATAAAGAGGCCCATACTAAACGAACTCTTAATTGACTCACCTTCACACATGGACATTCTCTCGTACATTTATTTAGTTCACCAGGATTTTTGAATGAATATTCCATAAGTAAATCGTGACTATACTTTTATGATGCGTAATTCAGAAAATGAAATATAAAAAAGCATACCTTTTTTATAACCAACATAACTTGAACAATAACTTATGTAGCCTTTGTTTTTGGACACCCTGTATCATTATTTTCATATTATTTCGATAGGTAATCGACCATGTCCATACATAACAGCAATCCTTTGCGAGTATGTGGTGATTCAATGTGATGAAATAATTTTCCATAACATCCGTTCGTTTGTTGAATTCCGATTTTAATCTCGCTATCTTTCCCTGGTGATTGATGGAAGTTAACCGATGGTCAGATGGGTCATCTCAAAAAGACCATAATAATACCATACCCTCAATTTTTGTTTATGTTGATAATCCCTACATGGAGATGACTAATGTCACTAATATCAAGATTATATTGACCGACATGTGATAAACAAAGCGGATCGACTAGACCGGAGATAAAAATGTTTTGCGTGCTGTAATTAGCTGTACGAGTTATATATAGTTGTTGCCAGTTGTGGTTGTATAATAATACTTGGTATAATTAATTGTTATAAGTATAAGCAACATTGTTTGTTACTACAGAAAATTCGGCCGGATGAAGTCTTCGGTCCTTTCGCTATGGCGGTCATTTTAATCGCCTTCTAAATCCAGATTGTCTTAGTTATTTTTGCAGTCTTCAAAGATATCGTCTATTTATAAAACCTGGTAACTCCAACACTTAGTGTTATAATTAAACCATGGTAGTTGAGGTTATAAGTATTATTTTTTATTTAGCGAAATTTGGAGAAAAATAAATTATAGTTGGGTGATTTTATATTTACTTTTTTTTCCAAAAACGGCCACTATCAATTCGTTGAGAATTTAATGTTGTTATAAGCAGAATCATGAAAAAAAGAAGTCGCAAGGACATTTGTTTGTTTTTTTTCTAGAAGTTACTTCTTTAATCGTTGATCATACACTCTGGTCCGTTTACCTGCACACATAATGATAACAGAGGTGTAAAAAAAGACATTTGGATTTCGTTAAAGAATTTTTAATAGCATATCGTTTAAATACAAGCGGTGATACCATTGACGTAATAATATAACGAAGTATTTAACAAATATTAACCTAAATGTATGTCTAAATTGTTTGTGCCGAATCCAGCCTGATAGTGGTGCCATTGAGAACGGGCAAGTTTATTATAGCCTTAACCAGTTCAGCAAATTCTTCTGGTCGGCCGGCTCGTTTTGGAAACACGTATTGCAGTGTACCCAACGCCACGCCTTCGGTCAGGGGCGTTTCGAATAAACCTAAAATTAGGTGTCGATCATAGAAATAATAAAAGTTATAAAATTGCCATACCTGGCGCTATGTCCACTACCCTAATTCCTAGGTCGGATAACTCTTTTGCCAACGGTTTCGTCATCCCAGCCACGGCTGCTTTACTGACCGAATAAGCGATATTGCCGGGAGCGCCATCTAAGCCCGTGATGCTCGAAGTATTTATGACGATTCCTCTTTCTCCGTCGTTATTTGGTTCGTTTCCCAATATCAGTGGGATCGCAAGTCTCGTCACGTTAAACGTACCTATTAAATTCACCTAAAATACACATTTGTATCATCAAGTATTATAAAGGTATAATAGCCACCTGAATAATTTTGGTGAACAGTTCCAAGCTGTGGGGATTTTTGTTCTTCGAATCGTAAATGGATCCCGCTGCGAAGACCCCCGCACAGTTAACGATCCCATTGATTTTGCCGAATTTCTCTTTTACGATTGCCAGTGCGTTCGAAACATCCTTCTCTGAGGATACCTAGAAATAAGCGTGGCAAACCACGTCGTAGGTAAATTTTAGACAAACCCACATCCGCTTTAATAAACAAGGCATTATTTTCAAATTTTGCTAAGTACTCGTCCACTGGGGACTGAATGTCCAACACTGCCACCTTCCATCCGCTCTTCAGCAAGCCAATAGCGGCGGCCTTACCAAGACCGGAAGAACCTCCTGTTATGAGGTACACTAACTTCTGTTGAGCAAAACAACTCAAGTGAAAAAAAAGATAAAAGTTAAAATACTTACCGAGTTTTCGCTAGCTCGAATCGACATTATGAACTCTTTGCTTTTTTGTATGAAAAACCGAACCAACAATCCAAAATTTCTCAGCCCGTTTATGTGGAATTCGTGAACAGCTAGGAAATAAAATTCTAAATTCGGTATATAATCTAGAATAAATCCGCAGATCTAGTGCAAATTAATAGATTTTTCTTTAAAACTTTGGTTAATCAAGTTAACTACTCAAAAAATTTGAGAAAAGTTTATCCTATCAACGAGAATTTGAAAATCAAGTGTTCGCTCGCTTTTAGGAAGGTCTCTTCGACACCAAATTTGAATTGCTATTGGCGATTATTGACCATAGGTCAAGTTAAAATGACTTCGATATCGATACAGGCTACTGTGTTTAATGTTTTTATCGTTAACTGCGTTTGGATTGTTTTTTTTTTTCTTTTTTTGCAAAATGTAAATGGCTGCGTTACAATTCGGAATTAACAGCGGCGCCCGATGGAAATCCGCATTCATTTGCGTGTTGGAAGGTTTGCGTGAGATAACTTTAAACAAAATGACAACACATCGTGTTATGTGCACTCGCAGTTATTTACATTGTTGTAGTTGGTTATGTTAGAGCACAGTTTTCTGAAATCTGCTAGTTGTTTTAAAGTGCCACATTTTTATTCATTAGTTTTGCTATTCAGTATTTTTTGAGGGTAGGCAAGATTTGAATATAATAACGATGCTGGAGTTCTTGCGCAATAAAGGTTTCCCACGCAAAAAATATTTAAACTAAGCGATAATGGCACGAAATTCACTGTATATTTATTCGCTTTTTGTTAAAAAAGCAAACAATTTTGCAGCAGAACATAAATATAGGCAAAATTCAACTTGACAGCTTTATAGATTATAATGTGGGTTCTGATTTTATACTTTCTTGTGTGTAAACACTATTTTTATCCACAAATCTTTCTAATTTAAGTACGTATCATTCAACTTAAATCTTGTTTGTGCAAAAGGCTCCAATTTTATCTAAAATATAACCAGAACATCTAACCAAAAATGGTTACTTAATCTTAAATATACGATTAGTTTCCTGCGTTTTTTTAAAATATAATTAGCACTCAAATGCAGAGACGCTACCGGTTTCGTTTATGTAGAACGATGTTGCCAAAGAAACTTTATAATTATCTGTTATGAAAATATTTGAACATTTATTTTATGAATTATATCAATACTCTACATTGTGCGCCTATTGTCTGTAACGACCCGAAATTAAATTTTTGCTATTAATTTATATTTATTAATTTGGTGAGCTTTTAGAAATTTCTTCACCGCGTATTAGTTATTTTCCTTAGCAATTGATTTGTATTAGAATTGCAATACTGTTCTTTTGCAAAAACAACTTGCCAGCCCACTCTGTTCATACGATTGACATTGTAACGTGATACAACGTGCTATATAGGAATAAATAAATAAAAATACCCCCCAAAATAACTAGAAACCATTTCCAACGAGCCCGTCGAAAGAGGCTGTTTTAATCAATGACCCTTTTTACATTATGGACCGGAAACCAGAAAACGTTCGGAATTTCTGCCACAATATTCATTCAGTTCAAAGTAAACCGTGTCGAATCGGAATACTGCCCTTCTCTCTTCTCACATTCGGCGTACGTTTGTTCAACCCTCGCGTAAGCCGAACGTAGCCGAACGGGCCACTCGTTGAAAGCAGGATTACGAGGCTGTGGCATCGGCAGGATCCCGGGCAGCAGTAGTGTGACGTCACGAGCGGAAAAGATCCAGCAACACGACTCTTTCCTCCGTCCCGTTATACCATCCGCCACCGGCGTCAAACTAAATTTCCTGTCAATTTTGTCCATAATCTAATCCGCCCGCGTGTACCGGAGCATCATCGTGTTCGGTAATAAGAACGATTCATTGCGAGGGAGCTTTTCGAAAAGAGAAACTAGCTATAGGTTTATATACACGTAGAACAATGTATAATTTAATAGTTTTTATGGTGAACGAGAAAAATATTGTGATAGTTTCGCGGGTTCGGCCGGCGCCGTGTGTAATTTGGCATCATCGTGTACTCACCCTAGCAGGTTAAAGACCAGAGCCGAACCGAAATGCCTCAAAGATGTTCAAGGGATGGATGTTTGGCAATAAACAGGTTCGATGTTCGTATTGATATTAGAATGAATTAATTTATCGGTGGAGCCTGCGTAGGACTCGAGCCGGGACAATGCAGAACGGATGGGGAAGGTCAAAAAACCCACCGTTTCGCGTTATTTTTAAATGCCGGTGTTGTGGCAACATCATCGTTTGAGACGACAAATTTCCACTTTCGGTCGTACCGTGTATCGTCCCGGTCGTCGACTCTATTTTAGGCAAAGAGGCAAATATTCTATTATTCAATTAATTAAAGTAGATTTTCGTATATGACAAGGCGTTAATGAAATTCGCATCATATGCTTAGACTATGCGGACTCTTATTTTATTATTTAAGTAGCCTGGTATGGCATCTCCGGAAAACCGAATTTTTATTAAGATATAATTCTAGCAGATCAAAAATATTAGTATAAAAGGAAACATGTACGTATATAAATGTGAATGCAATACAAAGCAAACAAGTATCAAATAACAAAAACATCTAAAATACAAACAATTAAATGACCACAAAAAAAAACAAACTATTAATTATTTACTATGAAGGGATCTGTATTAGATTTTAATTTGCGTAAAAGACAAATCTAGCAGTCGACATTAAACTATTAATTATTCAGTATGTTAGATGTTTCAGATTTTAGTTTGTGTTGAAACCCAACAATAGATTAGAAACAGTGTACAATTTTTTTTTCTCAAAACATTATATAAGGCAAAATGGAGATGATTGCCGATAGATAATTTAAGACAATATTTGAATAAATTATTGCCATATCTGCTATCATAATTATGATGATTATGGGAAGGTCCGCTATTGCTGAGATGAAGGCTATTAAACTGCGATCATCGGAATTTTTAGGAATATAGGCACGATTTTTATGGTATTTTTATTTTTATTTAATTGACAATTTTCATAAAACTATATTCACACTTTTCTTTATATATGTAAAAAGGTCTATTTGAAATTTTACTCTTCTCCTTGAATTTTCGTGCATTCTTTATATTATCTAAATCTCTAGCGCTAAACTAATACTAATTAATTATGCTCAAAGTACTTAACTGGAGGATCGAATAGAGAATCTAAATATACTTGTCGCAGATGAGCGAGTATGTTAATTTATCTATCTAAACCTGCTGGTCTGTCGCATTTCTGGATAAAGTTGACCATATCTTTTCTAAAGCAGCTGTTCAATTTCCATTTGTTTGTACATGGTGTGTTTTAAATGGGGACTGTTTTTTTACCGAAAATTTCTTTCAAACTTCACTTAAGTATATTATTATTCTTTAAAAAACAACGACAATAGTATTTCTACAAATTGAAACTACATATGCGTGCCAATTTGTGTGTTTTATACACGCATCATAGAAAGATTTGTTATTAGAAAAAGTTAAATTTTACATGCAGACTTTCGATGTTGCTGATGCTATCGTAAGATGAATCTACGTAATGACCATGTTTGTTGGTAGAACTTCTTTCGTCATTGGAGTGCTTATCTAAATATTTAAATATTTAATTCAATTTGACCTTTCAACGCTTTGGCCAATTTCGTTTAAAAAAAATCGGCATGCGTGCCAAATTTATGCGCATGTGTGGAATCCTGGACAAAAATATCATAGTTGCCCGAGGTGTAACAATTTTACGGCCTCTATATTATCTGGTAGATGTATGGTAGCTACCATTATTTTGAACGAGCCAATTTTCAACCCACCTCGATTTTCAATCACTTTGTTGCTCATTCCCTTACTTATATGTATTTCAGAACAAGTGACAAGCATTGAATTCAGTTTAGCAAAAAAGTAAATATCGATATAACTGTTATACATTTTAATTAGTAATAATAATTTTCACTAGTAAAGTGTTTTTAAATAATTCATGGCGAAATCTTTTTTGCCATCGCCATATCGGCAATATTCCAAGCAAGTGGGTGGAGTATCTTGGGAAAAGTCGTTCGGTTCGCCCTTAACCCAGTTTTTCGTTTTCTATTGCGCGAGGAAAAAATAGGGTGCGGGAGCGGTGCATTTGTTTTATCGACGATAAGAATCGCCTGACGGACACATCTCGGAAAATGCCATTAACTATATTAACTTTTGCTTGAAATGCGGCTCATCCAACATTGTTTCATATTTCAAATTTGTTAATGGTCATATCATAATTTTCACCTCTTATCGTCTTTTTATCTCGAAAATAGAATTTTGTTTTACTTTTTGATTTTATTATTGCAGGATGCAGGAAACCCCCGCCACCTCTCTATTTTTTAAATTAATGCAGCCGCAAAACCCTGCATAAGATTTCAACATTTTTCCGTTACCAATTATGTTTCTGACTTTTAACTAGGTTCAGTTAATCTGGCAATAAAACAAACAAGTCCTAAAAAAATGCTGCTGTCATTTGAAAAGTGTTACAGTGCTACCAACTCACATTACTTATTAACCATAGTAAATCATTTGCAATTCATGAGAGGTTTGACTTTGTTAGTGTGTCTGAAAAGTGTTTCAAAACTTTTCGCGACGCTGATGCCCATAGGGACCTAACTTGTGCAGATTTCCCCGTAGATTTTCTTTTTTAGGTTATTATAAGATCCAGGATGTACGAGCAGAGACCACCGTCGGGAGATTTCAAACTTTATGAAAATTGCGACTGAACAAACGATATTCCTACTCCTATGCCTATAAATTATTGATGTATTAATTATCTATTAACGTTTTTGTTTTGCTCTCAGATTATACAAACGCAACCCAAAAGCTATAAGTTGCAAACACAGTTGCGGTAATATCTAATGGTAAATAAGATACCAATTGCTCACTTTTTTATTTGAGCAGGTGTTTTTACGACCACGGAAAAGTGTTTAAACTTGTTCAAATTTGAAATAACAGCTTTTTTCCAACTGCAGTCGAAAACTGGAATTGTAAATTTCTGTCACTCAATTGATTTTTTGATACGATGAATGTTTCTTGCCTGACGAAAAAATCGATTGAACGACAGGAATTTACAGTCCAAACCGTTTTCTGGCTGCACTTAGAACAAAGCCATTAGTATACATTTTTCCAACCGCAACAAACTAAATTCTAGGAAAAACAAAATACGTTCACACTGAGCTGTTATGTTTTTTTTTCATGTTTGAAAATATGCTCCAATCATATATACATACACTCAAACCTCACACATGAAAGTAGTCAGTTTACATTTCTATTCCTTTACAGGGATTGGATCCTGCGGGACACTTGAAGCCCCTAAACTCCGACATAGCCGCTCCACGGATCGACAGCTATCGTTTCTCCATGGCCAACCTGGAGGACTCGCAGGACGTAGATCTAGACGCTATCCTAGGCGAACTCTGCGCTTTGGAGACGGTGTGCGATCGAGAGATTGGCCACGCCAGGGAAAGCAAACGATATTCGGGTAATTTTTTACTTATCTTACTTAGAAATCGGTTAGGCTGGAAGCAAGAGGATGTCATAGCACATTAATTATTCGTTCCGCCGAGATGTTAGCGTGAAATAACACAGACATCCTGGATCGTATTAGCATATTCAAATTTAGTTCCGTCGCATTATATTGGCCTTAGTTCAAGATTCCCAAAGTCATTGTACAAACATGCTTTTCGAAAATAGAATTCGGATGGACGTGACACCTAATAACAGGACATTACGCCCATCCTTCACCCAGGAAGCAGCGTTATGTCACAGTTAACGTAGTCTTTTAGTCACGGCCTACGAAGCTTTCTAGTGGCCTTCTTTTTGCAAAGGTTAAGTTTTTCACGGACTGGACTCAGACGATACTTAAATAATAAATAAATAATTCAAAAAATAGTCGCATTAATCTCTTAAAAAAAAAACTAAAATCAATCTTCACCGCTCAAAAAATGGCACAAATCGACGAGACATCGACATTAGACAACTGTACCACCTTTTATATTGTTTGAGAGGAGCGGAGCTAAATGAGGGGCATAAACACCGTCTCGGATGACTGATTCCCATATAAGTGACAGGTAGACGACAGCTGAGTCGCGGTTAAGATTATTATTATTATTATTATTATATTATTATTGATTACATGCAAGAATTTTAGTTTTATGGAATAAAATTTTATGTCCGGTTTCGTGATTGTGTTCGGCAGCGGCTGATGAGTTTATGTCCTAGTCTTAAGGCTCTTTCATGTTCTTCAGCAGTTGCCGAACCAATCACGAAACCGAACATAAAATTTTATTCGATAAAACTAAAATTCTTGCATGTAATCAATAATAATATAATAATAATAATAATAATCTTAACCGCGACTCAAGTCTCTACCTGTCACCAATATGGGAATCAGTCATCCGAGACAGTGTTTATGCCCCTCATTTAGCTCCGTCCCTCTCAAACAATGTGAAAACAAGTATAGAGTAAACTACGAGCCACTTTCAGTCAAGCTCTGAAGAAGCCAACAGGGTGATTGGCGAAACGTTAGTTCGAGTCAACAAAAACCGACGCAGGAAGAATCCAGAAGTTTTATAAAAATTAACTTAGCATCTGATGTATTGAAATAGACGAGGTTTTGATTTAACTAGCAGTTATCACTTGAGGGACTGGTTTACAATCTGTCAACTATAATCACCGATTTACGCTTTTATTCGTAACAAGTCTAGGTGTGTAGTGCTAGTGCTTAGTTATCAAATTGTAAATCAATCCTTCAAGTGCGAGTAAAGTCTTTTCTCTATTGGCAACACTTCGTATATTAATTTATGATTAAACACTTATTGTACTTAACAACAAAGTGTAAATCGGCCATTAGAAAGGATTCACCTTATTTATTATTGATTGATGATTGATTCTAATTACAGATGTTCAAAAAATGGCGTCACAGTACGAATCACGAATGCATAGTCGGTCGTCTTCAGAAGCGTCGCGTTTAAAGCTCGACTCTGATGATGGCATGCTCCTCAAGGGCGATGCCGCTCGAACGGAATCGCCCGATAATGATTCGGCATTCAGCGACACCGTGTCGATGTTGTCCAGCGAGTCGTCGGCAAGTAGCGGAGCTAGCGGTGCCAAACCTCAATCGCTCAACCTACAGGGCATCCACCAGGTGCATGTCTTAATAGGACTCTTTTTTACATTTTGTGCTCAGAAAATGCAAGTTGTGTGGCATACATTCAAATCCAGACATTTCCACTTTTAAGTGTTTATCTCTTTAAATTGGAATGTGCATAGTTTAGTCAAAGTCGGACAAATCCAAAAATTTTTCATGTTTTTTCGAAGTTAATTTATAAAGACGTGGTTGTTTTTATACGAATGCGCTTTAATTAAACAGTACCACATAAAACTACAACCACATTCAAATATGCAAGGTGAAAGATTTTCTGCAACTTTCCGTTAGAGTGGTTTAAAAGATTTAAGTTCAAAAATAACAGGGAACTTGAACAAAATTTTAATACAAAAAATATTTCTTATAAAAGTAAGCATATACTATTAAAAGAACCACAGTTAACAAAAAAATGATGTCCTAGTTCTACGTAATAAATATTAGATATTAAAATTGTAAAATTCAAATCCTCTTTGAAACGTGCTGTCATTGGCTGTGGCCGTTTGTGACGTCAATTCGCTCGTTAGACTACACGTCAGCCGGCCGGTAGAATTATTTATTGCAACTTAAATATTGGGTTTTGATATTTGGTATGCGTTATTTCTATACATGTACGGTTCTTAAATTTTGAAATTTTTATTTCAAAGTCAGATTACAATTGGACGATAAATAGTCCCCAGAAACTCCCCAGTTATTAATTAAATTTAATACGGTTTTACAAACTTATTATTTAATGATGCAGTTATCGTCTTGCATATGAAAGACCGTATCTCAGTTTCTTTTATTTATGATTATTTAAAAATCTACAACCACAAAATTAAACCGTTAAAAAATGTTGAATTTATTGTGGAACAACAAAACTTGTAGATCGTTCCTCTTCGATGAATACCTTTATTTTTTGTTTCTTAGTACTGGTATCTTTTTTAAAAATTATGCTATGCCGTTTTTTATTAATAATATATTTAATTTCGGAATTGACGATAGCAGTATGTATTTATGTTTTCAGAGAACCTTGTTATAAGAATTAAATTGTTTTTTCTTAGGGACATAGTAATAGTACAGCCACAAAAACCTTATGGTCTTTAAGAAAAGTTTTAATTGTTTCAAGAATATAGAACGCTTCCTCTTATGTAAGCCCATTTAATAATTAATTAGGTAAGAACCGAGTTCGACTAATTTTGAAATTGAATGCCACTCATTCTTTCGATTGAAAAATATTAAAAGAGTAGTGTACGTAATTTCTATGCTTTTCAGTTCTAAATATTATTCTTACCATTATTTCTGCCACCTTACACACTGGATTTTTTAGGATGACGCATCCCGTGTTAAAGCCGAGAAGATCCGAATGGCGATGGAGAAAATCAAAGAAGCGAACATTCAAAAGTTGTTCCTCAAAGTGTTCACTACCGACGGTTCCGCGAAATCGCTTTTGGTCGATGAGAAAATGCTCTGTTCGTACGTCACCCGCTTGCTGGCCGACAAGAACCACGTAAAAATGGACCCAAAATGGGCGATTGTTGAACATTTGCCCGAACTCTATATGGGTACGTCTGAACGTAAGAATGTCGTCACCAGGAATTAACGCTCTCTCACGATTCCAGAGCGTTTTTACGAAGACCACGAGCAGCTCGTGGACAATCTGCTGCTCTGGACGAGGGAATCGAAAAATAAAATATTTTTCGTAGAACGGCAGGACAAAATCAAACTCTTCCTGCGGCCGGAACATTACTTACTGTCCACGGTCGATAAAAGGGAGATCGCGGAACACGACGAGCACTCAAGGAACGTTTTGCTGGAGGAGTTCTTTTCCACGACGAACGCTAGCGTGCCCGAAGTGGAAGGACCGCTTTACCTGAAGGCCGATTCGAAAAAGGGTTGGAAAAAGCACCACTTTGTGTTGCGGGCTTCCGGTCTTTACTACTATCCCAAGGATAAAGTCAAATCTGCTAAGGATTTGGTCTGCCTCGCCACTTTCGAGAACAATCACGTAAGCAACGCCACTGTTATGTATTTTGGAATATAGAACATGAAAATGGACACAATCAAAAACACCTTATAACAGCCGTTTAAATGGACACAATCAAAAACACCTTATAACAGCCGTTTTTTTGCGCAATAAATTTGGATCATGAATTCAAGATCATCTGATGATCTCTGATGAACCCGATTATAGGAAAATTCTTTATAAATTTCACCTGCAATTATTTAAAAATTTATTTGAAACCAAGTTTGACGTTTTGCCTTCTAAGGCATTGATTAACATCTTTTTTTATAAATATCACTCTTACAGAACACGAAAAATTTAAAACAATTTCATACATAGGAGAACCTAGTGAAAAAGTTTCAACACATTTGTCAAAATGTGGTTTAAAAATAGCTTTCAGAACTAACAACAGAATAGAAAATTTTTTAAAAAACAATAAAACGAAATGTCCAAAATCTCGAAAATCAGGTGTCTACAGATTGAAATGCGGATCTTGTCCTAAAATTTATATTGGACAAACAGATAGATCCTTCAAGAAACACATTAACGAACATAAAAGAACGTTTAAAAACAATAGTCTCGATTCTAATTATGCTACACACTTAAACACAGAAAAACACATTTTTGACGACAATTTTGATATTTTACATACAGCCACAAAAAGTAGAGAATTAAATTTATTGGAAGCCATGGAGATTAACAAAATGAGACATTCAAATGTATTGCTTAAAGATCAGTTAGATTTAAATACCTCTCCTTTATTGAACTTAAATTCTCACAACAACATTAAATAAGGCTTGTAAATATTACATTTGATAAAGACATGGTGTTGTTGAAACAATTGTCATGTCAAAATATATAATTTCCTGAAAATCTGAACTTTTAGTTCTTATTTATTTTAATATTACTCTGCTGTCCTAAATTTTGTTTTATTAATTGTTAAGTTGTTTTAAATAAAACATTCCCGCTCCTATTTTGTTCATTTCACTTCAAACTGTTTAAATAAATCCAAATATGTAAATATAAAAAATGTCTGCACAGCTCCATCTTAGTAATAAATTCACAAAACTCCGGTGCACTCACTAAAACTCTCAAGGTAGGAAGGATAGACTAATTTTTCTACTGCCTACTCTAAAGAACCCAATTCATTACGCGTGCTCAAAGTGTCACCTTAAGATGTTAACTTCATTAAATTCTGTCGCTAGTCAGTTCCGGCATTTCCGGTACTTTAGTAACGAGTTTGGTAGCCGTGAAATATTTTCAGTAGATTGACGTTTATTATTTCTGAGGATTATATCACACATCACTAAGAGAGTGTATTCGTGCTGTTTTGCAAAAATACACCCAAAAACTAATGTCACAGTGTTTTACAGATTGTACTCAAACACGATGGCACAATTTGTAATATTATTTTTGTGTTGCTTGCATTATTATCATGTAAAGCGCAGTAAGCACAAATACAAACTGGAGATTAAAGTACAAACGCACTTTTATAGGAGCCAAAAATAAACGTAAATAATATAAATCTTGGCCTATAACCTGAGAATAACACCAAAACATGTCGCCATATCGATCGAAAAGCAGCGGTATGACGTCACGATCATTCCTGCGCGTTTAGTCTCGTTTAAAAGTTTTTCTATACATAAACAATTGTATTAAAGAAATTTGTTTACAACTACGCGACAATTATGAATTAAAAATAAATTGGCTAATCCCGGCTTAAAACTTTTTAGATTTACTGCGGGATAGGCTGGAAGAAGAAATATAAAGCGCCGACCGATTTTTGTTTCGCGATCAAGCATCCGCGCCTACAAGAACCGAAATCGACCAAGTTCATTAAATATTTGTGCGCGGAGGATCAGACGACGCTGGAAAAATGGATGGTCGGGATGCGAATCGCCAAATTCGGCAAACAGCTCATGTACAACTACAGAGCGCTCATCGACGAACTGGCGCAGGAAGAAATGGACATACTCGCCAACGCCAGAAGCTGCTCGGTAAACTCGATTGCCGCGCAAGGGCTGCAATCGGGTATCGCCACTCCAACGCAGGGATATTCGGGAAGCGAGGCGGGCTACGGCACTCAAAGTGAAATTTATTCCGCCGCCAGCGAGTCGAGTTCGGGAAGGCACAGCCGGGCGAGCAGCTCCAGTTCGAGTGGCTGCATGTCAGACGGGGCACCTTCCAGCTGCGAGAACGCGTTCGATTCGGAATTTCCTATGGGTATTTATTTGATGAATCATCCATTGTCGTCCATTCGGCCCAAGATATAGCTCAAGTCGTAATATATTCTAACACAAATATTTAACTTCTTTGAAGTTGCTTCAATAATTGCTGTGGATAATTGTAACTAATAAACCAGTCTTCGAGATTTTTAAGTATGGAAATTTTAGGGACGATAAAAAGAAAACCGTCAATGAAACCCAGCCTGCCGCTTACGAATATCACAAGACAACTGAAAGAGGTGGGTGAGACCAGGGATGAGGTCGACGGCACCGCTCTCCCTACCAGTCCGATCTCATACACCAACACGGGAACACTAACCCGGAGGCACAGCCGCAGGAAATCCAATTCCGCCACAGACGACTCGTCAAATTCCGGCACTCTAAAGCGGCAGCATTCTTATAAATTGAGAGGCTCCATCGAATCAGTGGGAGGTTAGATAAATCACATTTATTCCCATACTTTTAATTGTATGGCAATTTGTCCTATTTACAGTGAGGACTGGCAACTCTACGCCACTGTGCGGTACGCCAGTTAGGGAGAGGACATCGCCTTTTGGTGAAAGGAATAGCCCTTTCAGTGAAAGACCTCCAAGTGCTACTTCTCTCAGAAGTCCAACAAATGTTCCTAGCAATATGGAGCTGCCCTCTTGTATGGTAAGTTAAAATCAATAAAATACAAAGCATATTTACTCCCTAATTTGAACCTCTCGAACAGTGGAATGACGCATTATTGAGATTGATAATTTTGATTTGATTGTGATTTATTTTCAGGTGGATTCAATTACTTCGCTTCCTCCTCCTCCGCCAGAAAATGGTGGCGATCTCATATTAAACGAATCTCCTAGCGATCAACAACTCCCTCCCCCACCGCCAGAAGTTTACAACTCGACGCTTTCCCTGGACAGTTTGCCGCCTCCGCCAAATCCCGCTGACCTGCCTCCGATGAGCGGCTCGGATTTGACGGGCAGTCAATTGTCGTTAATGTCACTTCCGCCTCCGCCGGAAGACAACACGCGGATTAAAAACAGTACGCCGCTGGATGAAACGCCCACCCACTCTAGATTGAATACTCCATGTGTCAGTCCGCCAATGTCCAATTGCAGCACGCCCACGCAAAGCAATCCCCCGTCGAGCTTCAGCCCTACCCATACCGCGGTGTATGGTCAAAATCACGATAGAAACACCCCTCCACCGCCTTATGTAAATCCTCCGCCGTTTAGACCCAATGGTCTGAGATCGTCTCTGAGGCAAAGTTCCGCGTTGCCCAGGCAAATATCCTCCACCAGTATTGCTTCCAGCAATAGTTCCAGTTCCTCGGGAAACACCTCCCTTTACAGTACCTCTAATGAAATTAGAAATTCGCCCAAGCTTCAGAGGAAGGTCAATTTCCAGGAGCCAGCTAGTCCTAAGAAAGGCATAGGAAAAAAGATATCCTTCAATTTAGCTCCCCAAGAGGTATGTATATCAAATAAGATATGTTCAGTTGATAATTATATTGCGCAAAATTTGTTCCGACTTTTAAAACGTAAATATTTGCTATTTTGTTTCTCAATCTGAAAGGGAAATAAAATTTTCTGTGTAATTCATCTTTTTGAGTGATCTTGATTTCATGTGAATTAAATATTTTTGTACCTGTTTCACATGTAATTCTTTTTTTTTTTTGCTTTTTTGGTTCATGATCTTGAATATGTAAAATGAAATAATCACTTTTGGTGAACAAAAGCGTTAGATATATCTTATCAATAATTTGGCTAATTCTTCATTGCATTTATCATAGAAATGAAATTTCTAACTAGATCTTAGTGAATTTTTTGAATCATTCTGGATCCACAAATCACACCCAAAATGGGGATAAAACTAAAAGATGACTGATTTGTCTTTATCAATCCACCTAGTAGTCAAATGTTAAACCATTCGGTAGTACATTGATGCTCTTCTTTATGTGCTGTCTCCTCTAAGAAAGTTGGCTATCATCATGGTGATTTTCCCTTTTTATGCCGCTGCTCGGAATTATTCTATTGATGTATAGTGGTACCACTCTTTTTCAGCCATGAAGTGCGCACGCTTCCCTTGCCTTCGATTTTTCCCTGTATTATTGTAGCATATGCTACCTTTTTCCGCGCATAACGGGACCCAGGTAAGCAAGATTCCTTGTCTTTACAGTCTCCACTATCTCTGTTACATTATCCATTCGTCTTAATATCTCCGCATTTGTTACTCTCTCTGTCCAAGAAAGTCTAAGCATGCGTCTCTATACCCACATTTCAAAAGCCTGGAGACTTTTAAATCATCTTTGTTGTCCACGACTATGTTCCATAAAGAAGGATTGAAAAAATATAGCTTCTGGTAAATGCAGCTCGAGCTTGTCGTATTCTGGATCTTATTTCTCAGGTATTTGTACTCACTTACTCTCTCAACTTCCTCATTGCGAACATACAATCTTTTTTGTTCATCATTCTTTGTAGGACCGCGTTACTCTGGGCTATTACCAAGGTATCATCGGCAAAACGGATATTATTTATGAGTTCACCCTTTATCCTTTTTCCCGCTGTGTCTTCAGAAATAGCCTCCTGCATGATTTGCTTCGAGTAGAGGTTACAAGTGGTGCAGAGTAATTAGTAAGATTTTTGGCGTATTTGATTTTTACTTTTGTGCAGTTCTGTTTTGTTATTGACATCCAGAGCTGAAAGTTCAAATCGTTTTGATACAGACAAAGAATTAAGCTTCCATTTGTTTCATCCGCTAAAAAGAAAAGCTTATGTAGAAACCTTTTACTTCATACTTTTATGACTCTAAACATTATTTAAATATATTACACACCTTGTAAAACGTAAAAGAAATGAGGGAATATGCATATTTTTAATAAAAAGCTCTTTATTGTTATGCATTAAAAGTTTACCAAATATTTCAAACGCACGTTTTTAAAAATCTCTTTTAGAGTTGAAGTTGAAGTTTTACTTGAGACGCCATTGCTTCCATTTCCTCCTGTTAGGCTTAATGTTAGCAACACGATTCTTCCTGAAAACAGAAAAAGGTACAAAAGTAAATTTTGACTATGAAGAAACAATTGAGTTTTTGCACATTACCGACTTCACATTAACAAATTTACCAAAAACAAAGGTTATGTAGTTGTTCTTTTTTATTTCTACAACCAAGGCTATGTTTTTAATTTGAAATCCCAGCTAAAACCCAAAACGTGTATTTAAAAAATATATGAAACTAAAACTATCAAACATAAATCCTTTCACTTTAAGGACTTAGTTTTGTGTGTTTATTTAGAAAGAAAATCAGGTTGTAAATGTGGACTGGTGTGGTTGTCCTCCTAATGCACCCTTATTACACCCATTCACTCTTACTAAGTAATTGACGTGACGTCTCCAATATTGCAGGTGCCTCCGCTACCGGTGAGAAAACCGTTGCCGCCCAAAAGATCGGAAACGACGAAACTATCGAGCCCCAAGAAACTGGTGGAACCGCCGACAGAATTTTTGAAAGACTTACAACGGGTTATGCGGAAAAAGTGGCAGGTGGCGCAGAAGTGCAAGCTCGAGCCCGAAACGACGCCCCACGAGGTACTCGGCTTCAGGGACCCCCATCCGCTGTCGTTACCCGACTACAAGGAGCACAACGTGTCCAATTGGGTCAAAGAACACTACGGGACCAACAATTTCTATGAAAACGTTTACAGGGAAAGCGCGGAAGCTGACACGGTGGTGGAATATGTCTCGAGTCCCGTTCGAGGTACGGGAGTAAAGAGACCGCCGCCTCCTCCCCCGCCCAAACGCAGCGATACTACCCATTTAACCACCTCGCATAAAAATTACTGATGTCGTCTCTCCTAATATGACTTTTGAAAAAACCCTGATGTACAGGGTGGTTCGTTTATCTTAGTCTTCTGTCTTATCTCGACAATATACGAAAGGACGAGAAAATTAATTTTCTCCTAGGTTATGGAGTAAAAAAGTCTAATGTTAATTTGTTTTTCACATATGATTCTTTTTAATAAACATTTTTTACATTTCTAAAATAGCTTTCATTTTTTCCTGCCTTTATTAATGATAAATAACTTGAATTATTTTTTATATATTCGACATTTCCAAAATGACTTCATTGGTTTTCTGAGATAAGATAGCGTCTCAAGATAGGTGTGTCACCCTTACTGACTCTCCTATATCTCATATCAATGGAAAAATATAATATGCTTTGCAATATTTAGTACTCCCTGGTTGGTAGCCAAATATTAGTATAGCCCTAATGTCGCAAAACATCAGTACTTGAGTATCTACCCCACTTTCAGATTTATAATCTTAATAATTGTTTGTTTTCTCTTTTTGCCTTAGTGGTTGGATAATAAAAAGAAGACACTGCCGAACTTTATACTGCCAAGCTGAGCTTGTTTTAAGTAAAAATCTATAATAATATATACATTAATTCTGTCCATTAACGAAATCAAACAAATTCAAAAGTGTTTGTAAATACCATGTGGGACCAGCCCAACGTCTAGAGATTTTTAGTATTGAGATCGTTTGAATTGAGGTTTATTCAAAAGTTGTGGGATGCAAACGAACTAAAACGCGATTGTGATTTTTAGAGAAAAGCTTAACAAAAATTTTATGTGCCATTTACATTCAGTTATTCTTAAACGTTATAGTGAAACGGGACTGACTTATTTTAGGAAATTTAATGTGGAAACGTCTGTGTACATATTAGTTTCTTAGTAAAATTTTTTTCAAATGAAAAATGTCAAACATTGTTATGGTGCTTTTTATAGATAATATAATTATGATAAAGATACCTGTCGCAGATAATTGTGCGACGAATACTAGCGAATGTTGTGCGTTTTTTGTAAAATTTTATACTTAACAAATTGATTTACTATTAAGTATTGTAAAGTTAGTGTTAAGTACAGGGTCAGAATGCACTTAATTTGAGTTTTATGAACCTGAGTAATATTTTTGTAAATACAAACGGCCATACCTACAGACCTGAAGGAATATACAATTTTTATTTATAAAATTTTAAATTTAGTGATTGATTTCTGCAATGCCGCTAAATTTCATGTAAGTATTTTGTTCCGTTTATCTTAATGATCGCTTGGGTTTAAGGTATTTAGGAACATTTGAAATTTGGGTGCTGTATAATTTACCTACCGTGCAATTTTTTATAAGCGTTCTAAATCTTTGCGATCCAAATTGTAGTAGCTAGGCGTTGTAGCGATCAAGTATTTTTATGGGATATTTTATTTCTTGGAAAAGAGGTTATTTTTCAAGGAGTTTTTTTGTTTTAAACTAGGGTGCTTATAATAAACACTTTGTATACTGTCTACGATTTATACATTATTGATATACTTATTAGTGGTTACAATATGAAACCATATAATAAAACTTATTTAAACTATGTATAAGTTTCTTTGTCACCCTTTTTTTCTATAGCGGAAACCGCAAAAACGGTTTGCCAAACACTTATTGAGTATATCTAACATCTTCGAAGACTCACTAACAACTTTTTATTGCAAAACTGCTTAATAACTTTTGAATTTATATGAAGTTTGGATAAATATTTTGAAGAATAAATTATATATATATATATATATATATATATATATATATATATATATATATATATATATATATATATATATATATATATATATATATATATATATATATATATATATATATATATATATATATATATATATATATATATATATTTTTTCATGTATTGTATTGATTCACGGATGGTGAACTCGCGGAGCACGAGCATTGAAGATGCCAAGTGAGATTTTGGCAAAACGTCTGCAGGATTCCAGTGGGAGTTCAACAAGCGAACGGATGATATCCCGGAATATAGTGTCATCACATTTTTCCATCCGCGAATCAATACGTGAAAAAAAAAAAAATATATATATATATATATATATATATATATATATATATATATATATATATATATATATATATATATATATATATATATATATATATATATATATACATACATACATACATTTCAATTATTTTTTCTAAAATCCACATATCGCATTAGCCATAATTACGAACAGGTTTAGTAAGGATAGGGAATAATCACTTTGCCGCGTTTTTTACAAGAGTTTATACAGATGTTTGATATCATAGTTGAATGATTCTCGCAGTGTGTCTGGGGTTCTTAAAGGTACTGGCGTCGTTAATGGATAGCCTGGAGACTTAATACCAATAAATTTAAACCTTCCGTTTACAAATAACCTCATTCATATCCTTTCCTAAACGTACTTTTTAAATACCTTCAACCTTGAGCGTTAATAACATTTAACACGTGAATAAAAACATATAAGATGGTGCCAGACCCACCTTATGAAATATTCCCGCATTTTTAAAATTTAGTAAAATATAAGTAAATTTTCATATCGCTGATGATTTTGTTCATTCAAAAATAAAACGACAAATATTTTTGTATAAAAAGATTATATTCTTAAATGTAATAAACTTTTTTGTACAACAAGGTGTGAGAAAATACAAATTTTAAATAAATAACAGAAATTCCTATTGTAAATCACAGATCGTAATATCCTTAACTTCTTTAAACAACACTAAACAAATCCGCATTCATGGGAATGTCGAAATAAAAAAGTTTGTTTTTTTTTTCAAGCTACACTAGAGAATAACAAAAATCAGTCAAATATAGTAACATAGCTGAACATTTCATTTCGCAAGTTTAAGGCGAATCCAAAATCCCTTTTGAGGACCTGCACAATGCTCATAACGGCCAAGCATAAAACAGGTCCAAACGAGCTAACTGTTTAAAGTCCTGTTGCGGTAGTTATCGGAACTGGTTCCAGTCTCCTCAACACGGGAACGAATTTTTCTTTGGAGTGCCTCTTGACATGTTTCGCTAAATGGTCAGACCGCATAAACCTTCTTTGGCATACCTCGCATTGAAATTTTTTCTCGCCCGTGTGCGTCCTCTTGTGCCTGCTCAATTCGTCGGATCGTGAGAACTTCCTCTCGCAGTCCGTCCACTGGCAGACGAAGGGTTTCTCGCCCGTATGGGTACGATTGTGAGCCGTCAAGTGGGACGACTTGAAGTAATTTTTCCCGCAGCCTGCGTACGTGCATTCGTAGATTCGCTTCCTTTGCGGTTGTCTCGGAGGAGATACCAGGACTAACTGCGTGGGAACCATCGCTCCGACAGAGCTGATGAAAAATGTTTGGGGTTGGGATGAAGCGACGAGTTTCGGGGCGATTGCTGGGAGAATAGGAACCGCTAATTTCACCTGTTTGTGGGAAACTTTTTCCCTATTGGTGACTTTCTCGCTTAAAACTACCTGCTCCTTCCTATTTCCCATTTTAAACTTGATCGTTTTAACAACATTTTCTTCCACCAAGTCGGGAATCGGCAATGAAGTGCAAGAACCGTCGCAGTTGGCTTTCATGATAACGGAAACGGTTCTTTGCAGTTTCGGTGGTGGCTCGGGAGTTGGCGGAGTAACGATAAATCGAAATTCTGGAATTTCGGGCGGCGGGGTGGCGGTTGGGTGGGGGACACTAACGGGATTTTTAAAGACCCTTAAAAACTCATGGTCGTTCCTGATGTGACGTTTCTTCAAAGGAAAGTCGTGTTCCTCTTCGGAATCTGATGGCTGCGGAGTGGGCGGAAATGCGGTCGAGGAGGTCCTTTTCTGACCCAAAAACTGACGCAATTGATATAGTGCCGACTGTTGTTGTTCGTCGTCGGATCCGGCCTGAAACAAGGAAAAGTATACGTCACACTACGCAATTTAATATTAGAACAGTGACGACACCATCCTTGCTTTGCGACACCAGCAGACGTATAAAACCGAAGGTTAAACATTTTTTTTTAAACCCATAGAATAATAAATAAATAATGTTCCGAAATAAAATTCTCATTCTCTTACGAGGTATTTGTATCAACGACAAATAAGAGGCACTGCCGGGCTCTCATGAGGGTATAATTAATATTTTTTCCTCGTGCTTTGAGAATTCCTCAAAACCTTTATAATGAGCTTCATGGCACATTCTAATGTCTTGCTTGGGCCAAGAAGCCTCAAGTATCGCCTATAAATTTTACCATGAAAAATATATCTTTACAAATATCAGTGAATATATAGTATCGAAGTTTATATACAGTGTGTTCAAATAAACAGTATCGAACGATCTTAACGAAGGTAAAAGCTACAAGATTAAATTAAACGGAAAATCTTTTTTTTTTATTTAATCTATTTTCGCTTAATAGTAAAATTCTACCAAATTCAAAAAGTACAGCAAAAACTTAAAGAAATAAAAAGAGAGAAGAAAAAATATTCCCGGTGGCTTTTGTCATATTAAAACAAACAGTTTTTTGAAAATTAGTTTTTCTCATAAAATTCTTTAGCTACATATTTTTTGATAACATTACATGTTACATACATGCATACAAAGTTTGGACAAATCACTGCCATAACAAATAATTTCTACTTGCTTTCTTTTTAAGTTTTCCTTATTTCTTGTCTTCCAAACAGTTTTAAGGTAATAAATACATTACTTATTTAATATGCCAACTAACTCAAAACCTTCTGTTGGTTTATACCATCAGCTCGCTTCAGCTACTAAATACGGATAAATTCAATAAAAATTAAAAGTAAGATTTTCTAAAGAGTTCTTGACGTCACAGTCACGTATACGGGTATAACGAAAGGAGATGACGTCGCTGTTATTTCTTTAATGAGATGCCCTAAATTTTCGTAAAAACTGGATAGAGTAAATTTTTCTACATATTGCAACATAAATACAAAATCAAAACATCCTTTTTATATAAACCTTGGAATCTACTTCACTGTAACATAAAAAACGTCGTAAATCATAAAATATTATCATCGGGTTTTTTCCTTTTCAAAAACGTGAATTATTTTTATGAACACACTGCCTGTATTGTATATTCATAACGACCCCACTTCAATAATTATTCTATCAGCGATATTATAGCCTGCAGAGCGCAATCACATCCAACGTGCGTGATATCCCGGCCTTAAACATGAATATTTTCAGACGCTAGGTCCAGCGTTGTTCGAAAAAAATACATCAGTTTAATACGTTTGGTTTTTAAATTTGGGAACACATTATAGCGAATAATTCTATATCTCATTAACCATGGGTAAATAGGATGTGCCCCAAATATCATAAACAAAAAATATTAGCACAAATGTTGCGAAATTAAGTTAAAAAGAAGAACAGATAAAAACAAAAAACTTACGATTTTTAAGGGTGGCGTGCTGGGTGGTGAAAGGACCAAACTTCCTACTTCTTTTATATCCATGTCCGCAATAACAAAAACTTAAACGAACACAAATATTAAAAATCTTAAACACTTTACAATTAATCACTCCTCTTCGCTGGGAACAAACGATCAAAAGTGGCTCCTTTATTTTGAAACCCGTTGTTGTTGTTCTTCCGTGGCATGTATTGTCGGGGTGTGTATCTGAATCAAGCCAATCGCAGACGCGGGCTCGTCTGTTTTGACGAATAGCGAGAGACATGCCATGCACAGACAGCGTGATCGACGTCGTGATGTTCACGTGAACACCGGCTGATTACGAGGACCACGCTCCGTGATGTTGACGTCATTTCGGCGTGTTGCGGCGATGAAACGTCACAGGGGCGGCAAGCCCGCGTCGGATTAGAGGTGTGCTACTCGTGGCCAAACGTACGTTGCCAGATCGGAACTTCTAGAATAGAATTTCCCTTTGGCTGGTTAGAGGACAATTTTTGTCTCTAAGTAGATTCAACAAATTAATGTTTAGAATAAATATTTGTTTTGTTTGTTTTTGTTATTATGTAATTTAAATTATAATTAATATAATTTAAGTAAATATGCAATCATTAAACCCTAATAAATACTCACAATTTGTATTTTGTATATTGGTATTTATAACTAAATATAAACAAAAATCTGGTATGAGCGGAGCTCAGCGAATCACATGCTTAAGAGCACAAACTTAAGAATGTCTAAAGAATTTGTTCTGCTATTTCTAAAACCATTAAATTTTGGGCACATTTTTGTCAAATGGCACGAATACATTTACTGAGTGACGTATGTGGTCATCTAAATTGACCAACGTCAAATGACCATCCATCTACCTAAAACATCCGATTACTAGTAAATTCGTGACTAAAGTACCGTAGAGCCAGCGATGGCAAGCGACCGTGGGTAATGCGCTGATGTCTTAAAGTGACACTTTCCGCACGCTTTATCGATGCATACCATGCATGCATGCATGGGTATTTTAAAGTAGAAATTAGAAAAATATAATTGATTGTGAAAAAGAATCGTTACTAGATCCATGAGATTTTCCTGAAGCTTGGCAACAGCGTGATGGGTTATTTTCCTTTCCCATTTAGTCACAATAAGCAGCAAGAAACAACTTTTCTGTGCTTAGGGCGTGAAACAAAATCAACCAAAAGAAAGTCACAATAATTAATTACAATTACTTAATACCTGGTCCTATTACAAAAAAAAATTGAAAAAATATTCTGAAAAACAAACTGTGTAAGGAATGGTACCTGCCTATTTGATTCGAAAGACATTAAAAGCATTATTGAACTTAGATGTTGGTTTTTCAAATTTTTATTATGTTTTGAATTATGAGTGTTATATTTAATATATGTTACTATGCAATAATATAGTTCAGAACGTCAAAGAGTCATTGCAACAAAATGGTTAGAAGTAAAATGATTTATGTGAAGTCACTTTAAGGAACTAGAATGTGCTCACTCTTTGTACCTACCTAAATAATTGAAATATTTCACTATTAACTGTATACGTATATACAGCAATTTAGTATCGAAAATTTCCGCTGACAATCACAGAAAGGTTGTTACAAATTGGCATACAAGTGTTACGTTACTACGTTATATTTTATATATTGGGTTTATTTTGTTGATATGCCAACTCTTTCTGAGAATTTATATTCTCAGAAAGAGTTTTTTTTTTATTAGTTTTTAGTTATAGTTTTTTAGTTGTTTCAATTCATTATAATATTTTAATATTACAGCCACGCATTTTGTTATGTGATATATTAGGTTCCTAATTAGGTACCGCCCCCACTTTCGACTAAATATAACTGATATTGCTACGTAGATCTATATCTCTAACATTCAAATACCCTATGTATTTGTATGTTATACAATAATAATCAAGCGGTCTGCAGTTGAATAACTGGGGTAACATCAGTTTTATAATTTCAATAAAATCTTTAGCGTTATTAGTGGCCTAGTGTCGATATAGGGAATTTGTAAAAATACAAAATTAAGAAAATAACTCAATTTTTGTTCTCATGTTTTCATCTAGGTTTATAGTTGGAACAAGAACATTTATTTATTGGAAAATTACTTTACGCTAATATTAAATGAGAAATATAAGACAAAAATCTTTAATTTTTTGTGCAAGAAGTTTAAAGTATATTTTATTTGTTGCGTTTGGTGGTATAACGATCCAAAAACTTTAGTTTAAATAAAGTTAGATCCCTTTTGTTAAAACCCACTTACCTACTGGTTTCTGATTCTAGTTTTTAAAAAATCCAACAGAGGACGGTAGTTTACGGTGCAGCACTCAATTCTTGAACAGTATCAAATTCAACTTCACCTGTTACTTGAGCAATTGAAATTACGGATTTAATCATTATTCACTGTAACGGCTTCTTATAATTATCTGTGCCTGAAACTAAAAGTAACTTTGAGAAGCGGTCCGTACATCTATAACGTATTTGAACATGGAAAGGTGACATCTCTTCTCTCACTAAATAACCGGATTACTGTCCTTGGTCTATGCCCATTTCGATTCAAGTCTGTGCCTAAAAATTATTGTGGTCCTTGGTTTCGTATTCAGTGGTTCTTTACGCCTCAAAGGGGTTAGTTTAATTTCGGGGATTCAATCCATAGACAGACAATTATAGGGAAGCGAATTAAATTTTTTTTTTTATTGTTGCGTTATTAATTTGCAGTAAATGCCAAGTTATTTTTTTAAACCGGTTAAGTACATAATTCTGGGTAATGGCAAGAAACGCTGAAAAGGCTATGACGACGTTAGCTCGGTGGAGAGCGGCTCAACTAGGGGAACATGAGAAACACAAGAAACGGCGTCCATATTTAGCATCCGAATGTAGAAGCTTGTATGCCTGTGAAAAGTGGAGAATGCAAATTATTAGGGAAATCGCAAAAAAGGTGACTCAAATACAGAATGCTGGGTTGGGTGAGTTCCGTATCAGAGATCTTAATGACGAAATTAATAAGCTCCTAAGAGAGAAACGGCATTGGGAAGACCAAATAAAGGAGCTAGGTGGACCAGATTATCAAAAGGTTGGTCCGAGAATGCTGGACCATGAGGGTAAAGAAGTACCAGGCAATAGAGGTTATAAATATTTTGGAGCAGCAAAAGATTTACCTGGTGTAAGGGAACTGTTTGAGCAAGAGCCTCCCCCTCTGCCGAGAAAAACACGTGCAGAAATGATGAAAGATATTGATGCTGATTATTATGGTTATATGGATGATGATGATGGTATATTGGTCCCACTTGAAATGAATGCTGAAAAAACTGAAGTGCAAAAATGTATCGCAGATTGGAAACAAAAGAAAGAGCAGCGGCTGGGTAAGGATACTGAAACTGACGAAGATCTCGAAGAGGAAAATATTTATGCTGAAAAGGATTCTCAAGAAGAAATAATGGAGACTGAAGTGCTAGATGGATCGCAGCAAAGATTTGTTGCCCATGTTCCAGTACCCTCACAACAAGATATTGAACAGGCGCTTTTACGACAAAGAAAACAAGAACTTCTTAGAAAATATGGGCTTCAAGAAGAAAAAACTTCTGTTTGATTTGTCTATACATATCCATATTATTTACCCATTAAAGTAATTGTAAATATTTCGAGAGTGCTTGTTGATAAATAAAGAAAACTGCATCACCACTTTTTGCTCACTTACTAAACATAATTAGTAAAATTCATAGAATACATAGATATTAGTTGGTTGCCTATTATTTATTAAGTTGCTTATTTTTATCGTTGTATATCGGGTTGCCTACCCATCAGGCCGTTTCTTATACAACTTTGAGTAGAGTTTAAGTTTACTTTTTAAGAATACTTTGGAAACATTTTATTTTACTTACCAATACCATAATTTCGAAAAGTTCTTGGTTACAATTTTGGACAGGAGATTGTGTTGGAGGGCTCAAAGCCTGCTTTGTAATTAAAACTCAAAAAAATTAAGTTTCTTTCGAACCTATGTTATGCAATTGCATTCTCGGGAATCGCTTGCATTGTTATATCAAGGGATCAAGCAACTGATCTTGATATAATATTTATTATTCCAAATTTAATTTTTTTAATTAATTAAACCTATCATCAATGAAATCATGCAAAGAAACCTTTAGGTCAAAAAAGCTTTTAACGTTCTATGAAATATATCTTTACAAACTTTTTATCTACCTCCTCAGTCACACACATAGTCACAAACACATAAAAAAGGCAGGCATTTACGATTATAAATTGCTACCTAGTGAATATAAAGATTCGAACCAAAAAATATAATACATATATACAAAATATATACATACAGACATTAAATAGAAATAATCTTAACATTTGACCTTTTTCAGTTACTTTATTCATTTTTAATTTAATAATGTTGATTACTTTATTAAATGCAAATAGCAAAAATTTGCAAGAAATGAGGATTTCTGGATTACATGGCGACGTAAATACTTATATTACCTTATACAGAATTGTTTTACGATGTTATGTAATGTTTAAAAATAAAATTTTATGTTATTGATCACTCACTCGTCTATTTATATGAATGAATTATGTGAATCCGAAATAGTTTCCGTCATTTTTCAATCGCATAACATCTAATAATTTTTAGATTCGTATATAGAACTTCATTGGAAGTTCAACTTACTTTCGTTCATTCAGCTTAAGGCATTTACTAAAATTGTCTATATACGGATTGCTCGAACGATTTAGGCGTAAAAAATAAATATTAGGTAATTAATATCATATTGTCAATAGTGTTTAATTCCCCAACTTATCTGAACGGTTATTAATAATTATGGAATTTAACTTCAATATATTTAAATAACTAATTAACCTTCAAGTTTTTGAATAATTGTTAAAGTTTGCAACCTGTGAAACAATTAATTCCTATTTTTTGCATTTATTGATGTCTCTAAGAAAATCAAAAGCAAATTACAGTGTGCTTGTGTGCATTATTGTATCCAATAAACTTTATTACTGTTATTTATTATTTATTATTAACATTTTCAAAAATCTTTTAATTTTTTCGTTATTTTACATAAAATGCTGTGGTGAAAATATAAACGTAGTAAGACTTTATTTCTGGTTATCCCCAAAATAAAAAAATTACAATTTTTCTTTTTGTCAGTTTTTGTATCAAGATTCAATATCTGCTCAAGGAACACTTATCGCTCCAATTTTTCATCGAATACGCTTTTTCTTAACGTTTCGTTTCGGATATATAAATAATTTAATCAGAAGCAATGTCTACTATGTGCATAATTGCTGCAACTGGAATTAGACGAGCAAACAAAACTCTTAATTTATCTCCGTCGATGTTCAATGGTTGTTGATTCCCAAAGAGCACGCACATCTTATTAATTAAGTACGTTAAATCTTAATTTTTGGTTTGTAATGTAAAGGCTGAAATGCCTACATGACTACAAAACATTTGTAAATAAGTCTTATTTAACCTGGATTGTTTTCGGCATACTTTTTCGATTAACTTCTCCTGTCAAAAGCGATCGAGATGTTGTACCGAGCGAGAATTTAAACTACATTCTAGCTAGAATGGTAGAATGCTACATTTACTACTGGTGCTTATTATCAATACAATTCAGTATTTAAAAAAAAAAAATAATAGTTTCATTTAACAAAATGCGTTCTGCAGTGGCAATGGTATTTTGGAGAATAAAATGGCAGGAGAGTACCCTCTCGGGTTTGAAAGTAAATTTGAAGTCAACATTAGGAATGGTCATTCGAAATAACGAACATTTAAGCTAAAACTGCCAATACGATTGTGAAGTTAAGTAAATGACAGTACTTTATTGTTCCCGTTTTCGCGGAACATTGAGCGCCAGCTGGCAACATCGCACCGACGCCAGCAACAATCACCGTGAGTCATTCTCTCTTGCCCGACAGTCGCTCGCCGTTCTAACGGAGGTGTGGTTTATGCCCGCCATCTGTGTGCCGACATATACGTAAACTGTCAAAATTGTCGTCCCAATGCCGGCAAAAAGCCGCGCTCCGTTTTAAACATTGGTTTTGATTTTGTTTATATATTCACCTACTAGTTGTTTTTGTTGCCTTATTGTTTTGTTGTGTTTTCTCGTCTCGTGGTGCTTTTGTGTGTTTTTATTTTGTATTTTTGTTGTGTTTCCGACCCGTTCGTGCCATGTGACTGAGCTTTCCGAATAAAAATCTGATCGAAGTGGGACAGTCAGCGATGTCTAGGCGTAAGCAAAGCAATCCGAAGCCCCTAAAAAGTATGTCGTTTTGTCTAGATTCCTTAACCGATTATATTAAGTAGTTCTATGGTTTAACTGTTTGTTTTGGTAAGCGCAATTAAATTATTGCTGATATAGCGAGCTAACTCGGTCAACCTGTCCTAAAAGGTACAATTTACCCGTCGAAACAAATATTGGTCATGGGGTGTCTTCGTTGTATTCGTTGTTTTAATCCGGCCAGAGTTTTACAAAACGGTATTGCTTGTAGGTGTACTTTAAGTTGATACCTACTTTATACTTTATAGCGGATGTAAACAAAGGACATCCAGTAGTAATTTGAAATCTAGGATGTTAATCTTGAGATAATGTTTACGTTCTGTTTGGTAGGTCTGTAGGTAGGGCAAAACGTGTAAATATATATGCAGGGTGAAACTCGGGGTTAAGTACCTATACCCACTAAATATCGGTTTCATAACATCTCTAAATATCAGAAATTATAATTAGGCCCCCATAATTCATACCTAGCGTTAATTAAATATGAAACATTTAAACTATACCCACAAAGAAACCTATATTTTCTGGATACCACATTATACCGTTTTATTCGAATTCTTTGATATTTTTAAAAATTAGATTAAGTTCCGGTTTATTCATAGTTTCAGAACATTTATGCGCGTTTATTTATCTATTTTTCCACTCGGAAGAGCTCCTGGGACATATACTATATCCAAAGGTTTCTCAGGTCTTCTCGATTTGGTGTGTATGGGATATGGTCATCCGGAAAAGGCGATAATCCTGACCAAATTACCATACAACGAAGGATGGTTGCTTGCCAATACAACTGTTCCAATTCTCAAAAATTGTTATCATTGTTATCATTGTTAATACTTTTGAGTTTTTATCGCAGGACGCCCCAAATTCGAATCGAACATCCATGCGCTTTAAAGCATGCCGTTTGGAAAGTTTTAAAATTCCGAATAGTTCCGTAGTTGTTTCGAAAATCGTAATTTCAATGAATCGGGGAATTTTCGTCGCTCAGGTGGTATGTTTTAATGCAAAACATGATAATTCAAAGTTAACGCCCGGATCTCTTTCGCCTTGTATATCTTATCTCAACATTTAAATCGGGTTTCCCCCAGTCTCTCACTAATTCTTTTTTTGCTCGAAAATTAAAACAACCAGAATCCATTCGGTTTCCCTTATCGTAGCGCTCGCAACGTTTCTAAATTTATCGCGTTCTTATCTGCACTTCGCCAAAACAAAACCATGTAGAAACACACGTACAGTTCGTGTTTGGTATTTCTTGGGGAATAAAAAGAGAAAGACCGGGGCGAACACTAAGGCGCACTATCTCGACGAGAGCGAACCCCCTTGTATCGCGAAATCAATCAATCCAAATTCCGAACCGCGCTTTCTTCGTCTGCTCTTTTTCCTTATCGCTATCGATTTCCATTATTAACCGCTTATTTCATGTTTAATAAATTCGATCATACAACGGGGTAAAAAACTGATGACTAACTAACTATTTTAGCAACCGGTTACTAAACAAATATTTTCCATCGAAGCAGGGATGTCGACATATACGAGGTGTGTTTAAAAAGTAATGTGACTTTTGCAATTGGGGGGTCTAAGTACATTTGATCTTCGATATATTTTTTGTTATATAGGTACACATATCCCTAACATATGTACACAGTTTCAGTCAGTTTGCATGTTGATTTTTTTTAGAGACGGAAGCGTTAGACGCGTTTTGTGTGCAAAACACTTGAAACGTTGACAACAGCATATGGTGAATCTACTTTGAGCAACAAAAGAGGTTGATAAGTGGTACCAGCTGTTCCAAGATGACCTCGCTCTGGACGCCCCAGGCCGTCAATAACTTGATGAAAGCGTCGGAGAAGTTGAAAAATCGTCGAATCACTATTAAAGAAGTCGCTGAAGACGTCGGCATCTCTATTAGCTTGTGCCATGCATTTTTTCCGAAGATTTGGGCATGAAACCTTTAGCAAAATTTGTTACGAAACTGCTTAATTTTGAAGAAAACGACCATCGAAGGAGCATAGCACAAGATCTGTTAAACGACGTCAATGGTGATCCTGATATGCTCAAAAAGGTCATAACTGACGATGAATCATGGGTATATGGTTTTGACGTCGAAATCAAAGCCCAGTCGTCCAAATGGGTTCTTCCATTGGAAATCGCCAATACCGAAAAAAGCACGTCACTGTTTTCTTCGATTATCGTGGCGTAGTACATCGAGAGTTCTTACCACAAGGTCGTACGGTCAAAGAGTATTACCACTAAGTTATGCGCCGTTTGCGAGAAGAAAATGTTAGGAATTGTTGGAAAACAATACATGGATTTTGCATCACGATAATGCACCTGCTCACTCATCGTTGCTTGTGTTTAACTTTTTGGCCAAAAACAAAACCACAATCATGCCTCAGTCACCATATTCACCGGATATGCCTCCCGGCGACTTTTTCCTGTTCCCAAAACTCAAGAAACCCATCAAGGGAAGGAGGTTTTGAACGATTGAGTACATAAAGAAAAAATCGTTGGAAGAACTCACTGCCATACCAGAAAGTGCTTACCAGAAGTGCTTCGAGGATTGCGAAAAACGTTGGCACATCTGGGGGGAGGGGGGATTACTTTGAAGGTTACAACATTTTGATAAATGAATAAATAACTTTTGATAAAACTTAAATCACCTTAATTTTTGAACACACCTCGTAAGACACATTCTCGACGATTATTAAAAGTTTTGACTTTTTGACTTTTGTGGTTGTTTACATGATCTTAAAAGTCGAGTCCAGCTGAGCGCGAATAATATTTTGTCTTATGGTCTGTGATCATAAGATGGGATTTTTTGACATTCCGAAGTCAGTCTAGACCGTCGGTCGCAGTTTTCCTTTCCTGTATCACTAATTATTAAAAAACACACACATTTGATAAAGACACGGTGTTGTCGAAACAATTGTCATGTCAAAATATATAATTTCGTGAAAATCTGAACTTTTAGTTCTTATTTATTTTGATAAATGGATTTTTATCAAGTAAAAGCCGCCTCAGTTCAATCATTAATTACGTCATTAAATCGTGAATGTATTATAGCTGTGAATAGTTGATTCCATTTAGGTTCTTTCAAAATGCGCATAACATGTTTTTTAGCTTTTTTAAAACATCGCATTTTTAAGTTTCGTCACAAGCGTTTGTATTTTTATTAAAAATTATTTTTTTGTCAATTATTCGCATGCTGTTTTGAACAAATCGAGAAGAAAACAATAATTTTTCATGCATTTTTATGTATGTAATTTTTACCTAGGATCCAGATAAAGATGCTATTCTGCCGGGTATTAGTTAATCATATATAATAAGCCATTGATGTTTATTTTTTTCTTTTTTTAATTTGGAGACCTAGCGACGTTAAACACTGTGAAGATTCAAATAGAATTCTTCTACTCACTTTAAGATGTTATGTTGGCAAGCCTGTTAGGATGTTTCCGGTATTTAGGTAGGAGTTTCAGCCATATTTGACATTTGCTAGTTCTGATGCTCACGCCATTCAGTAACACAATTTACTAATCGTCCGTATAACGCAGAATAAAATACCACGTATTTACACACTCGATCGTTGGCGACTAACAAGCCGGTATCATTTTTTCTACAAGACATCCACTTTCTTACTTAAATATAGTACTAGTGATGTAACAATATAATCGTGCTGTTTTGCAAAAATGTTCCGAAATGGTTGTCAAAAAAGTATTGTGTTCGACATATTGATAACGTCAGTCCAACTCGCTCCGTTCTTGCCAAAATGTGATTAAAGTGGCATTTATTAAAATTACGGTGCAAATTGGTCATTTAAGAAGCACTTTGAAAGTATTAGAGTATGTCTTATTACTGGAACCCTATGCACCTCTCAAATTTCAAGTCGATCAAACGAATAATACCTCTAACAAAAATTTAAAAGATGTGCGTAAGTATATTGTTTAGAAAATTTTGTTTTTCTTTCATCTGCTTATAAAAATAAATCAAGGAAAAATACCAAGATAGGGATGTACTAGATATTTAACTTTTGATTAACAGTTTGATTGATTAGCTATTCGAACTAGTTAAACAATTAATTCCTTGGATCTATTTAATTTTGACAAATTCTGCTGAGAGTTTAGCGTCTTTGCTTGTAACTAACTTATAACCATGTAACTATTACATAATATGCGGGCCCTACTACGTTAAAAATGGATGCCTCTGTTAACTATGATATTTTTGTAGAAAACAGACTAATTTTCCTCGTATGCTTCACCCACTAACCCGCATTTTGCGCCATTTTCTTTCTAAACAGTGATATCCAGACACTTAACTCCTTGTTGTCTAGATCTGGACATATTTTGCATCTAAACTTATTGACGATTTGTCATCGGCCATGTTGATTGTTGAATCCCGCTATGTCATTGGTTAAAACGAGATTTTCAATCTGTCGCATTTTTCATAGTCGCTACATAAGGTGCTGTATTATGTACAACATACATATTATGTATGTATATTATATATATTATTATATTATATTATGTATTATGTATGTATATAACACACGGTAAATTACAAAAGCTACTAAATACGGTTAGCTAGACATATTTGTGTCGGTTGTTTATGCCAATTTTCCTCGAAATTTTTTATCCGGTATTGTAGCATAATTCACTGTGGTTGATCTTATTGTGTTCCGTGGATTTTTGATACTCGGAGCACTCGGATTGTGCACCTTTCACACTTTCCTGCTATTGTTGGAGCTCAGAAAAACCCACTGAGGGTCTTGGTTAGTTATATTTTGGATGTATTCAGGGTCTTGCACTTTATAAAACTTGTGCATGTATTTGGAAAACAAAACAAAACTAACTTTTTTGAAAATTAGGTTTACCTTTGCATGAATTCGTTCGATTTGGGACGGTACCCTCCTCGTAAAAAAAAGGTTGCGGCGTTCAACAACTACATGGTCGCTCACAGTTCGTCCATTGGACAGTTTTTAGTTTGGATGTGGC